TCTCCAATTATTGGTGTGCATTGAGATGTCCGAAACTTGACTTTACTCTCATAAACTGAGTCGTATCAACTATTAAATAAATGTTTGGGGATCTAGTTCAAAAAATAATTTCTATAAAATATCAACATAATATAGAAAATCGTTAGAGTACTGTATCGTCTCCCATTGGATACAACAAGCATTCAATTGTATTAAATATCAAATACGTATTCTTTAGATGAATTATATAGAATTGAAACTCTCAAAAATTCATATAATATCATGAATTTACAAATTGAAGTCGAATATTATTTTGATACGGAATTCTGAAATTCATAGTCATGAAACTAGGCAATGTAACTTGTTTCATCTTGACGCCGCTAGTTCCATACTCGGACAAAAAAGATTTACTCATTCAGCCTTAACTGAATTCAATAAACTACCTGCCCATATAAAAAACTGCAGAAACATAGGTACATTCAAAAATGAAGTAGAAAAAATGATTATTTCTGAGCGAACTGGATAAAAGTAGTCATGTTATTTTAGTATGTTTTTTCTACAAATATTATTCTTTGTTTGCCAATTTATAGTTGTTGATGTATTTTGAATGATGAAATGTTTACCTATAGGTATATAATTATGTACTTCCTTGTACCAGAGCCTATTCTGGCTGGAAGTTATTTGCTCAATAAATAAATAAATAAAATAAAATTGTGGATAAAAACAACAATTTGCAACATAAATTAAATTTATTCAACACCGACAATATAAAAAATACTTTTATATTTGAAATATATGCCACGTCAAAAAATAAAACAGCTATGAATTATATTGAACTGGATTGGAAATATGTCCCCATGTATGATTTATCTCTTCACATGAACGTGCCAGAGCATGATTTGAACATTCAAATTAGAGAATTTACCATTGTAATGTATGTTGGTAAAGTGCATCACAGTTGATTTCAACAGAAAATAATTGAAAGATGTTGATTTTTTTCATTACAGGACTTCCTTCGATTAAACATTTAATATTTTTGTTTTTCGCAGTGTCTCCTTGATGGGCAGATTTTGGAAATATATCAAGTGCAGGTTGCATAAACCACTTTCTTGACTTATAGAAGAATCAACTCTCCTAACTCATCAGCAAAGGCACACGTTTTGTGATGGGTATGGATATAGTTATATTTATACACCAAGGTAGTAAAGAATATCATCATTACCCAGGGACCGAGATTATATGCCGAGGCTTATCATAGGCATATCAAATTTGTTTTCACCACTAGCAGTATATTTCAATCAAAATAGTTCTGTGAAACTGAAATGTGGACCTCTGTCACTTTGAAAGCACTTTTTTTCAATTCTAATTAGAATGTAGTCACCATGACAACATATGACAAGACATTATTGATAGGCGAATCTTGCTAAGGAGTACGCCCTCTACCGTTGTCTAATATAACTAACGTATGGGCCATTGATTGCTTTGTTTACATTAGTTTGCGTGTGTTTTGTATGAGAAGTAGTTGTGTTTTAATTGTCTATAATTTTGTTTGAGAACTTCTATAAACGTTTAAAAACATGAATCATTATTGTTGTGTACCTCATTGTTCATCTTGAGCAAAAAAATCCCGAGTATAGCTTTCATACCTTTCCAAAATCAGGACAGTCCAAATTTGTATTTGAAACTAATAATTTGGGAAACAAGGAAGTGATCGATAGGAGAAAGGTGTGGATTCATAACTTCAAGATTGGAAGTAGTGTCTGAACATAATGAGAGATTGTTTTTTACACCTTACTGAAAATGTACTCATATATATTTTCAAATGTATGTCTATTATGAATATAATACCAACTTCTTGAGGTAATGGTAAGAAACAAACAACTTTTAAATAAAATAATAAAAATAAGAAACCAATATGAGTTGAGGAACTAATAAAAAATAGAAATGTGAGCGTTTGTAAACGATTTTCTTTACTTCCATGGCGTACAAATAACTATAATTTAATATGCCTCAAAAAAGGATCATCCAACTCATCAACATGCGATTTATTTTGTCGAAGTAGAATTTGCAGATATTCAATTCATTGCCTCATGGTAAACTGATGGAAGAGTAACAGAGCATCTCAACATCTTGGCAACATTGGGAACCAACATTGAAACATTAGAAACGTAAATTGAACCACTCGTAACGCCACCCAAATATTTCGTGAGCTGATTTCCCAGATAAGAATTGAAAATGAAGTTTCTTTCCTGAGCTGATTCCCCAGATAAGAATTGAAAATGAAGTTTCTATGAACGTGGGTCCGAGAATAATAAGTTACACCGCTTCAAGGGTGGGCCACTGTGAATGGTTTCGATCAACATTTCTGACACCATACAATTAATAAAAACTGAACTTGTCAGAATGAAATAACAATTTCATGAATATTTCTTGAACAAACAATATTTCGAGCATCCTACAGACTGCTAATGGTAGCATCGTCTATACATAAAACATATCGAAATAATACAATGTCATGTAGAAAATTCGCAACAATATTATACAACAAAGTTCAGAGTGATTTTCACTTTCCATACCCTTATTTCGAAATACTATTCAATTACTTCTCCAACAAATTTTCAGACTGATCAAGTATGAAATCTTCATTGATTGTACCATCTTTCATTTCTATTCCTTTAAAGGTTTAGGAGATAATATATTGAATGAAGACCATATTCAATCGCCCATCTTTGGAGGGCTGTAACTTCTTGACGAATTATCGACCCTCTGATTTTTTCTTTAACTTGTACCTGTGTTGTGAATCAGCTCACGAGACATTATGGAGTTCAAGAACAGTCTGTATAACCTTTTTTTCATTATTCGTTAAACAACTTTCTCAGGAGTCAGGGAATATTTTTATGATCAGTCAGGTTACAAGCAAAACTTTTTTGGTGATGTAAAGTGAACAATAAGATATAGCAATTGAATGTTGCTTGGAAATAGACAGTTATTTTCAATATTATACCATGGAACTAAGCATAAATGTACGCAAACAATCATGGTGACAGTATTTTCTCTAGAATTTGTTATTATAATAACCTGCTGCTCATCAAAAGAAAATCATTATCCCTCTAAAAATCATACGACCAAAATCCCACAAAAATGTCTATGCCAATAGAGCATTTTAGAAGTATTCCCGAAGTTACTCATTTCCGAAGACTTTTTTGGGAAACATTTAGTCATATCCCTCAATTCATAGATTATAATTGAAACTGAAATGTATAATACAAACAAACATTGAAGGATCAAACCCGTGAGGGTAGAAACATCTAAAGGCACATCACATTAATACATTATGTTCTAATGAAAAGGTCCAGTATAAATATTTGTTCCACTACTATATCTCTAGAACACATCATTATACAGGGTGTCCCATAAGTCATCGATCGAAAGAAGTATGGTGGCAGGGGGAGTAATTTGAAATCATTCTAACCGTATATGTGGGTATCCAATTTTTGATGGTACAAAAGTTAATACATTTTTTTTAAAATACGTGACCCATGCAAAAACATTAATAGATAAAAGGCTATTTTGAATGACCCCCTATGTTATACCATTTCGGAATTTGTATTAAATGGGCAACTTTTTCTGAGTACGGTAGCTTTTAAATCTGCCAGTGGTATTAAAAAATCAACTGAATTATGTCATTCAATAAAACATTATTTTTCCCAATTTATACAGAGTAACACAGGTCATAAAAATCATTTACTGGGGAAGTTGCATCCATGCGGATAAAGTTTTTTTTTAGTACACAAACTACATCAACAATTACATGACCACATATTATATAGTTAGTTTGATTGGAAAAGCCCCCTCCCCCTACCACCCTTATGGACACCCTGTATATGCCTCTATTAGTAATATATTAAACCAGAAGTGATTGTGATGAATAAACTATGGAACTTGTCAAATTGAATTAGACAATGTGTGTATAATAAAATGACTAGACTAGCGAAAAAGTACAATGACTGATCGATTCAAAAATAAATCAAGGCCTAATATTTTTTCAATAAAAATAAACTCAGTGACAATAGTATCGAAATATTGTATTCAACATACAATATCCTTGAATATCGTTACTTTTTCAATTATATGTAGATCACCGATTAAATGTGTTTTGCAGAAGTATTCATTGACATGCATCTCAAAATTGATTATGAAATCATTCCACAGAATGAATATTATAGGCTGTTCAAATAATATAGATCAGGTTCATTCAATAGTCTCGAAAACTATTTTCCAGTGTAATATTCAAGTTACTTATTGACATTTGGCCAGTGGCGGCTCCTCAGAGGAGGCAACGGAGACTGAGCCTCCTCAGAGATTCTCCTAAAACTGATATTATCTATACTTTCTCATTCAAAGGTCACCAAAATACAAGTCTGCAAATCACGCGTAAAATATACAACTTGGCAATATCTATAGGAGGCTAGACTCCTTCACAAAGCGCAACCCACGCGCGCAATGCAAGTGCCCGAATACGCCCGAATAGCACGTGTTTGTCGTGTCGCGTCGCGAATTGCGGACAATCCAGCGCGAGTGCATTGTTTATGTTTATGTTAGGTTAATGGTTAGGGGCTCTATAAATTTCTGAAAAATGAATGTTTTAAACGATTGCGATTTACTGGAATACTTTTTGGTGAACCCATTCAGTGCTTTGTCTTATGAAGATAAATTGATTGTGAAAAACAAACGTCCGACACCGGAATTAAAAAATCTGATTGTAACAAGTTACGAACGAAATCGTTCGTTCAATTCTGATAATTATTATGGTTGACGGGATCTGAGGTAAGGAATAAGCTATTTTGTTGGTACTGCGTATTATTTTCAACCGATAAGTCATCATGTTGGGGGCGATTAGGATATAATGATTTGAAAAATTTGTCTCGCGGATTGGATAGACACTGCAAATCACAGGAACACATCTCTTCAAGTACCTATTAAGTTCATGTTAACTGGTATACAGAATGTCATTAAAGCTATTGATTTGGGTGAGTCGTAGAGAGTTGTTTTTCACAATAAATCTCATATCATTCAGCCTCCTCTGTCATGAAAGTCACGAGCCGCCACTGCATTTGGTACATGTGGATATCAGGTTCTCCATTATCACATCATACCTTGAAATTAACTTGAAGTATTTGCAATTCTAATGTGAAAGTCACAGACATGCATGATCATCTTTCCTCTCAAAATTATTATGTAACTTTGGGGTACATATCTTGAGAACAAGCCGTGGAACATAACTATTATTGAACTCCACTTGAAATAAGGTCATTTGATCAAACAAGTATTGTTTTTTCCCCTTACAGAATCAATATACAAGGTATTGTATGGAATTTAGCCATCACCAACAGTCACTACGAAATCTTCTACACAACTTGTTATCATCGGCTTAATATTATTGAAGTATATTAATATTATTTTGGTATAGAACTGCCAAAAACAACTGCGCTTCTAGAATAAGGTATATAAACTCTGTAGATATAATAACATTTCAACTTTACACTAACAAGCAGAAGCAATAGCGTGCCTATGGAGGAAAATCACTGGTACCATTCAATGGAATGGAAAGGCGTTGCTCACACCCAATACGCTGGTTACCTTATCCTCAGATTGACTGAAGTAAACCAAACAGTATTTGATCTTCTGTGGATTGGGCAGCTCCGGGAATGTCACCTCGTACTTCCTGGGTCGGTTGAAGGAGTTATATTCGACAGTGCTGCTGCCGTCACCTTCTGGCGCACTTACACTCAACGTTCGGTCGAGTGTTGCGCATTTACTCACGTACTCGTATGTAACATAATCATCTAAGGAACTGAAGTTTTCCTATTGACAAAAATTCAATTTATAAGTATGTGACAGTATATTGTTTAACGAGCACGAAATGATAGTGATTTCCTACGAGAATGAAGTTTGAGCCATAGGCGAATGCTGCAATCATTCGAGTAGGAAATTAGCATTCCGTGCAAGTTATACACTATAATTTTTCTACGGCTGTAACAGATAACAGCGGCATTTTTGATTGATTCGGCTTGTAGCTAGCAATTTGACATTCCATGAGCGATGAGATTTTTTTGAAATAATAACACAATAGAGTCATTGATATGATATGATATCAGATACAGAAAATTGCAAAAATCGCAAAAATGTCTGAAGATTGCAAAAATTGCGAAAATTGCAGAAATTGCGAAAATTGCAAGAATTGCAAAAATTCCTGAAAATTGCAAAAATTGCAAAAATTCCTGAAAATTGCAAAAATAGCAAAAATTCCGGAAATTGCAAGAATTGCAAAAATTCCTGAAAATTGCGAAAATTGCAAAAATTCCTGAAAATTGCAAAAATTGCAGAAATTGCAAAAATTCCTGAAAATTGTAAAAATTTCCAAAATTCCTGAAAATTGGAAAAATTCCTGAAAAATTGCAAAAATTCCTGAAAATTGCAAATATCGCAAAAATGACTGAAAATTGCAATAATTGCAAAAATTCCTGAAAATTGCAAAAATTGCAAAATGTCCTGAAAATTGCAGAAATTGTAAAAATTCCTGGAGATTGCAAAATTTCCTGAAGTTGCAAAAATTGCAAAAATTCCTGAAAATCGGAAAAATTGCAAAAATTGCAAAAATTGCAAAAATTCCTGAAAATTGCAAAAATTGCAAAAATTCCTGAAAATTGCAAAAATTGCAAAAATTCCGGAAATTGCAAGAATTGCAAAAATTCCTGAAAATTGCGAAAATTGCAAAAATTCCTGAAAATTGCAAAAATTGCAGAAATTGCAAAAATTCCTGAAAATTGTAAAAATTTCCAAAATTCCTGAAAATTGGAAAAATTCCTGAAAAATTGCAAAAATTCCTGAAAATTGCAAATATCGCAAAAATGACTGAAAATTGCAATAATTGCAAAAATTCCTGAAAATTGCAAAAATTGCAAAATGTCCTGAAAATTGCAAAAATTGTGAAAATTCCTGGAGATTGCAAAATTACCTGAAGTTGCAAAAATTGCAAAAATTCCTGAAAATTGCAAAAATTGCAGAAATTGCGAAAATCGCAAAAATGTCTGAAAATTGCAAAAATTCCTGAAAATTGCAAAAATTCCTGAAAATTAGAAAAATTTCTGAAAATTGCAAAATGTCTGAAAATTGCGAAAATTCCAAAAATTGCAAGAATTGCAAAAATTCTTGAAAATTGCAAAAATTCCTGAAAATTGAAAAAATTCCTGAAAATTGGAAAAATTCCTGAAAAATGCAAAAATTCCGGAAAATTGCAAAAATTGCAGAAATTGCAAAAATTCCTGAAAATTGTGAAAATTGCAAAAATTCCTGAAAATTGTAAAAATTCCTGAAAAATGCAAAAATTGATAAAAATCCGGAAAATTGTAAAAATTCCTGAATTCCTGAAAATTGCAAAAATCGCAAAAATGCCTGAAAATTGCAAAAATCGCAATAATGCTTGAGAATTGCAAAAACTGCGAAATTCCTGAAAATTGCAGAAATTGCAGAAATAACAAAAATTGCAAAAATTCCTGAAAATTAGAAAAATTTCTGAAAATTGCAAAATTTCCTGAAAATTGCAAAAATTGCAAAAATTCCTGAAAATTGCAAAAATTGCAAAAATTCCGGAAATTGCAAGAATTGCCAAAATTCCTGAAAATTGCGAAAATTGCAAAAATTCCTGAAAATTGCAAAAATTGCAGAAATGGCAAAAATTCCTGTAAATTGTAAAAATTTCAAAAATTCATGAAAATTGGAAAAATTCCTGAAAAATTGCAAAATTGCAAAAATTCCTGAAAATTGGAAAAATTCCTGAAAAATTGCGAAAATTGCAAAAATTCCTGAAAATTGCAAATATCGCAAAAATGACTGAAAATTGCAATAATTGCATAAATTCCTGAAAATTGCAAAAATTGCAAAATGTCCTGAAAATTGCAAAAATTGTCAAAATTCCTGGAGATTCCAAAATTACCTGAAGTTGCAAAAATATCAAAAATTCCTGAAAATCGGAAAAAATGCAAAAATTGTGAAAATTGCATAAATTTCTGAAAATTGCGAAAATTGCAAAAATTCCTGAAAATTGCAAAATTGCAGAAATTCCTGAAAATTGCAAAAATTGCAGAAATTGCAAAAATCGCAAAAATGCCTGAAAATTGCAAAAATTCCTGAAAATTGCAAAAATTGCAAAAATTCCTGAAAATTAAAAAAATTTCTGAAAATTGCAGAATGTCTGAAAATTGCAAAAATTCCGAAAATTGCAAGAATTGCAAAAATTCCTGAAAATTGGACAAATTGATAAAAATCCGGAAAATTGTAAGAATTCCTGAATTCCTGAAAATTGCAAAAATCGCAAAAATGCCTGAAAATCGCAAAAATCGCAAAAATGCTTGAAAATTGCAAAAACTGCGAAAATTCCTAAAAATTGCAGAAATTGCAGAAATAACAAAAATTGCATTCCTGAAAATCGGAAAAATTGCAAAAATTGTGAAAATTGCAAAAATATCTGAAAATTGCAAAAACTCCTGAAAATTACAAAAATTGCAGAAATTCCTGGAAATTGCGAAAATTGCAGAGATTGCATAAATCGCAAAAATGCCTGAAAATTGCAAAAATTTCTGAAAATTGCAAAATTTGCAAAAATTCCTGAATATTAGAAAAATTTCTGAAAATTACAAAATGTCTGAAAATTGCAAAAATTCCGGAAATTTCAAGAATTGCAAAAATTCCTGAAAATTGCAAAAATTGCAAAAATTCCTGAAAATTGCAGAAATTGCAAAAATAACAAAAATTGCAAAAATTCCTGAAAATTAGAAAAATTTCTGAAAATTGCAAAATTTCCTGAAAATTGCAAAAATTCCTGAAAATTGCAAAAATTGCAAAAATTCCTGAAAATTGCAAAAATTGCAGGAATTGCAAAAATCGAAAAAATGCCAGAAAATTGCAGATTCCTGAAAATTGCAAAAATTCCTGAAAATTGCAAAAATTTCAAAAACTCCTGAAAATTGGAAAAATTCCTGAAAATTGCCAAAATTGCAGAAATTGCAAAAATGCCTGAAAATTGCAAAAATTGCAAAAATGCCTGGAAATTTGCAAAAATTCCTGAAAATTAGAAAAATTTCAGAAAATTGCAAAATGTCTGAAAATTGCAAAAATTTCGGAAATTACAAGAATCGCAAATATTCCTAAAAATTGCAAAAATCGCAAAAATGCCTGAGAATTGCAAAAATTCCTGAAAATTAGAAAAATTTCGGAAAATTGCGAAATGTCTGAAAATTGCAAAAATTGCCCGGAAATTTCAAGAATTGCAAAAATTCCTGAAAATTGCAAAAATTCCTGAAAATTGCAAAAATTGCAAAAATAACAAAAATTGCAAAAATTCCTGAAGATTAGAAAAATTTCTGAAAATTGCAAAATTTCCTGAAAATAGCAAAAATTGCTGAACATTGCAAAAATTGCAAAAATTCCTGTAAATTGCCAAAATTGCAGAAATTGCAAAAATCGCAAAAATGCCAGAAAATTGCAGATTCCTGAAAATTGCAAAAATTGCAAAAATTCCTGAAAATTGCAAAAATTTCAAAAACTCCTGAAAATTGCAGAAATTCCAAAAATTCCTGAAAATTGCAGAAATTGCAAAAATTGCAGAAATTCCGGAAAATTGAAAAAATTCCTGAAAGTTTCTGAAAATTGCAAAAATTGCAAAAATGCCTGAAAATTGCAAAAATTCCTGAAAATTGCAATAATTGCAAGAATTCCTGGAAATTGCAAAAATCGCAAAAATGCATGAAAATTGCAAAAATTCCTGAAAATTGGGAAAATTCCTGAAAAATGCGAAAAGTGAAAAAAATCCGGAAAATTGTAAAAATTCCGAACTTCCTGAAAATTGCAAAAATCGCAAAAATGCCTGAAAATTGCAAAAATCGCAAAAATGCTTGAAAATTGCAAAAATTGCGAAAATTCCTGAAAATTGCAGAAATTGCAGAAATAACACAAATTGCAAAAATTCTTGAGAATTAAAAAAATTCCTGAAAATTGCAAAATTTCCTGAAAATTGCAAAAATTCCTGAAGATTGCAAAAATTGCAAAAATTCCTGAAAATTGTAAAAATTTCAGAAATTCCGGAAAATTGAAAAATTCCTGAAAAAACCTAAAAATTGCAAAAATCGCAAAAATGCCTGAAAATTGCAAAAATTACAAAAATGCCTAAAAATTGCAAAGATTTCAAAAATTCCTGAAAATTGCAAAGCCCCCTTTGGGCCATGGGCAATTTGCCCTTCATTATTTATTTTTAATAATGTAAATTGTACTATTAATATTATTGTTGCCTTTCTTTTTTTCACTTCCACAAATTGTCATTCAAAATATGCTTCTGCTGATGATGGACTATTGATAGTCCGAAACATGTTCAGACACTGATTATTCAGTTAATAAATTTGTGGAGATGACTTAGTGTGTCTTGTTTATGGATTATGTTTTCATTCTACCGTTGCCAAATTACAAATATTTCAATATTGAAACAAGAAGTCTCAAGCTCAGCCAAATGGCGCTGCATCGTGCTCATATATCTTACCTTGAAAAGACCGATCCAATCTTCTTCCGTCTCAGGAATAGCCTTCGTCACCGTATAACAAGTCTTATTCTCGTCATCGGCTTTCCAGCTGACGATTTCTTGAAATTGAATCACACATTCAGAGTAATCTGAAAATACCTGGTCAACAGACAGTTGCATTGAGGGTTCCTTCATTATCTTTTGAACCTGTTGTGGAATCTAAATAACATAATAGTCTTTCGTCACATAATATAAGAACAATACCATATTTTTTCCGAAAACAGCGGATTACCGACAATTGGACGTGGTCAATTGGACGCACGAAAATTGGACGCGGATAATTGGACGCGGCGACAATTGGACGCGGCGACAATTGGACGCGGCGACAATTGGACGCGGCGACAATTGGACGCGACGAAAATTGGACGCGGCGACAATTGAGCGCATGCGTAAATAAAAATAATTTTATGATTCCAATGAAATTTATTGCATGGAATATGCAGGGCTCATATCTATAATATAACAAATACCTAACCTAACCTAACTAACCTAAAATATTGTACTATATTCGTATCGTAAATTCATATTACGATATGAGATAGGAAAATACTTGTCAAACGAGGCCATAGGTATTTGTTATAATTATGGATATAAGCCCATCAGTATTTCATATTTTATACAATGAATTTCATTGGAATTATAAAATTATTTTTATTTACGCCTGCGTCCAATTGTCGCCGCGTCGAATTGTCGCCGCGTCTAATTGACGTCGCGTCCAATTGTCGCCGCGTCCAATTGTCGCCGCGTCCAATTGACTGCGACCAATAGTCGTGCGTCCAATTTTCCACGTCCAATTGACGCGACACCGAAAACAGCATGGCCAAAGCTGGAAGCTAGTTAGGTGAAGTACAAATTGAACAAATGGCCAACCTACTTCTGGATGAATAGAAAATATATATTCAGAAGAAGTGAAGAACATAAGAAAATTAACTGCTGATCAATCGAACCGCATCAAGCACATTTTTGCTTTAAATTCAACGTTGAATATTTTCGCGAAAATTCCACTTATTCGGATGCGGTTTCCTTTATTCTGAAAATTGATCCATTGGGTATATGACAGATAGGCCGTTGATAGAAATACATGGTAACCTCTGGCTATACAGGGTGACAAACAAACCTCCGAAAATATTAAAAAATTCTCCATACTCCCCATTTGATGGAAAATTTTCGAGATTTTTTCTAGCATATTTTTATAATTCTTGGGCATATTCCTCGAATTGGTTTCGCAATTTTTCTCTTATCTTTCCGTATTTTCGAGAAAAAGATTTTTTTTTCGAAAAATGTGATAATTTGTACTAATGACAAGAAATATTCTTATTTGTAGCTCAAATATCACAGATTTTCTCTTGGATGAGTTATAATGACCTTTATTGTATGAAATCTTATATTGTTCATATACAGAGTGGTTGGCAACAATATTTTGATAGATATTATGACAGGAAGACGGAGCACAACACATTGATCAACTTTTCTGCAACTTTCCTTGAAGTTGCAGAAAAAAAAACGGGAGGAAGAATATACAGGGTGATATACCAAGATTGATGGGAGTTTTATACAATGAAACTTTGAGAGTTCAAAAATGTATGTGATATATTAATGAATTCATACTCATCTCTCTTACTCTTAGTCATCATTGGAATGTTGCGCATTCCACATGCATTCATTAGGAGTTTGATGGATAGTATGCCGCGAAGATGTGAAGAAGTGTTGAGAGTTCAAGAGGAACCAATTACTGAACAATAATTTTTTTTTCATTTCAGTGCTTATTGTTTCATCGCTTTCAATTAATACATCTTGCCCTGTTTCACTTTTTGAGTGAACAGTCAACTTCTTCAAAATTCCTATTCAAAGGAATAAGCAGGTTATTGTGAATCACCTCGTATATTCTACACTGAGCAACATTCCAATGATGAGTAAGAGTAAGAGAGATGAGTAAGAATTCATTGATATATCACATACATTTTTGAACTCTCAAAGTTTCATTGCATAAAACTTTCATCAATCTTGGTATATCACCCTGTATATTCTTTCTTCCGTTTTTCTTTCTGCAACTTCAAGGAAAGTTGCTGTCATTCAATCTCGAACACTATACAATTGATCAATATGTTGTGCTCGGTCTTCCTGTAATATCATATCTATCAAATGTTGGTGCCAAATACTCTATATATAAAAAATATAAGATTTCATACAATAAAGGTCACCATAACTCATTTAAGAGAAAATCTGTGATATTTTAGCTAAAAATACGAATAATTCTGGCAGTAGTACAAATTATCACATTTTTCGAAAAAAAAATCTCTCGAAAATCTGGAAATATAGTCAGGTTGACAAGAAAATCATCCATAAAAATATCTGTGGTCCAGTTGAGTAATATTAACATTATGTCTAATTACGGTACAAAAAGATTGAAATTAATTTCCCAAATTGAGATAATAATATGCAGATTACATTTTCTTAACAGCCACTATGGCAGCGGCATACTGTCCTGTTGAAGTGAAATTGATAAGTGACTTTTCACACCCCCAAACTTTTATGCCACTGGAGAAATTTTATTTTTTGAAGCACATTCTGAAGCGCCAATATCTTTCACATAAAATAGGTCCTCCTGCTTTAATGCGCTAACGTGAACAGTTTTCGAGAAAAGTGGCTTTTTATGAACAAAAACATACAAAATCCTGTTAACTATATAAATCGACTAAAAATACCACAAAACTGACAAATAAAATGTTCAATTAAATGTCAAGTTGTTGAGTGCTGATTTTCAGATTGTTGAGTTTATAAAGTGTTGTTTTTTTTTTCATTTATTGGACGCCCTGCATCTTGAATACCCCGAGAGATGTTTCTGCATATAAAAATATGAAAAAATATTTCTATCAACATTGTTCTATAATAATCGTTCTTATTTGTCATTCGGTTGCCCCCTTACGAGCAACCCTCAGAAGTCTTCAAGAGACCATTATAGGAATTTCCTCTCGTGCGCTCCAAGAGATAAAAAAAGGAATGGCGGGGGCCTTACCCTTTAACGTGTGACCCCAAACACTTTCTTAGGCCATCAGAAAAAATTATGCAATGGGGAATTTGAAACCACGATCGGCAAGCAAACGCACTAGAAAACTAACGCTTCAACCACGCGGCTGCCTGACCACTTATCAGAATGTGTCCGAAAATGATTTCTAAGGGCGCTAGACAGACATTTTCTCAACAAATCAACATCACGATGAACTCTAATGAAACAAAACTAGTTGGAAATGTGAAATTTAAATCATCAAGTTGTAAGTGTTTCATCATAGGAGCTCACACGCTGATTTTTTTTAGGACATCAAAATGAAAAATGACACTTTTCTCGAAAATGGTTTGTTTTACAGCATTCCAACAAGAATAACTTTTTCATATAAAAGTGTTTGATGATTAAGAATATTGACAATACATAATTAGGAATTTATGAATTATTGAATAACTATTTTCAATCATATTTTTCGTAATTTCTATACGTTTGAAAATTACCGTGACATTATTGATGATTTTAGCACCTTAAAATCGACCGAAAAATTCTAAAAAAATATGAAATTGAAAGGTATTCATGTGATGATTCTATTTAAGAAATAAAATAAAATTAGTCCACACACCTATTCCCATCAACTATGGAATGATATACTAGGTGTCCTGTTTGAATGAGGTGCCAACATTATTCGAGCACAGACCTTCCTGATATGGTTCAGAGAATATGCCTCTCAAAAAATTGAAATTGGTTGAGGGATTCAAAACATTTTAGGATTGAGCGGCCATGAATTCATTCCATACACATTTGCAGAAGAATACTTATTTTTTTGAAACCTTTGTTTTGGAAATGAATATTGTATTATTTGCTATCATAACCTGATGAGTCATAACTGATCTTATAATCAACACTGAATTTCAGTAAACCAGAAGTAAGCAGTCAGATGATAATGAAATTGTTAATTGTGAGTTGATTCTGCTGAAATGACTATGATGTTATTTCAATGATAAGATACAAGGAACAAAAGCCTTCATAAAAGCACATAAAGCATACAAGAATAATGACAAAAAAGCTCTGTTAAAATCACACAGGAGATATTTTCTTGATATTATAAAAGATCCTGAAATCCGCAGAATACTGATTTGTTACAGTAACTATTATTTGAAAAACAGTGCATTTGTGGGACTTTAATTGAGGATTTTTAAAAGAAATAAATAAATTATTAGTTGTTCTGATTTGAATTGTCACTGATATCCACTGAACTATGCTTTTATCATGATTACTTTGATTAAAATTGAATAATTGATCTCCATTGACTAAAATTCAGATAAACACTGGCCAAGTCACCTGATAATAATAAATTAATATAGTATATTATATTATAGAGGTTTTAGAAGAAGATATTTCAAGATGGATATAGACATATCATCTCCTAATGGATATTATTGAAATGATTATAGGAATGTACACACCATTTTTTCTAAAAAAAAACTATAAAGAATACATATATGTTTGAAATAATGAAATTCAAAGAATAATAAGTGCAGAAGTCTTCAAAATCATAGTGGTGTGATTAATTGTGATATAACAGTCATGTTGATTGTTTTTATATAAATATGTAATATCATATTAACTTTAGGAGCAGCATTCAAATAATTTGAAAAAATATATTTAACCTTACTTTGATCATGAAATCTGCTGTAACTGGTATATGGTCACTCAATGTGTAAATGGGATGAGACTTATATGACAGCTGATCAACTTTAAGTGTTACATTTTCATAATTGTTGCTGTTGACACAATATAATATTCTATCACACCAAGCTGGTCTCCTCCTAGAATGGAAGAATAAACAATGAAGAAAAAAAAAGTAGACCTGGTCTACTTCTATCCACTTACTTGTGATCATAGCAGGGAGTTCCCACTTCAAACTTAAAAGTAGGTGGAAAATCAGGATCTTGTTCAGTGAGTTCACTGAAAGCCTCTCCCTTCTTCATCACAGCTCTCAGCTGATCATGTTCAAATAAAGTTTTCAATTCCTTCTTCACAACCATCCTCTCAATCTCATCTGGAGTTTTGTCATATTCTTCCAATAGGCGGAAATTAAGGTCTCCCAACCAAAAGACATAGCTGGATGAATAAAATAATAATTGATTATTGGTTATATCAAGGGGAATTGTATTGTGAATTGTAGAGTGAAAAATGTGATCAAACTTACTCATGATAAAATATTTTTGAAGTTTCATTCACATGGAACTCTTGTTCTGCAATTATGTTATTATAATCATCAACTCTATCTTTCAACTGATTATCATGAGCACTGAGGTGAGAATTGACAAAACATATTGAACATCCATAAATGCTCAATCTTATGCTCACTGCTCCTTTGTTACCCTGAAAATTTATTGTCACAGTAGCATTTCAAAAACATCATTCCTCATGTAAGAAATAAGTGCAGCACACTGGATGATTATGAGATTAATGTCTTCAACTTTGAAGGAAGCTGATATGAAAATATTCAAAACTGAATTGTCCAAAAGAAGCTCTAACAATAATATCACTGCATGAAGAACAGATCAATTAGGGTGATACAAGGGGTGATAACAATGAAATGTGAGTAGTGTGTAGGATCAAGAAGTTCTGAACCAGCATCATGTGCTGATTTGGAACTATCATCAAAATAGCATAGAAATAGTTATTAAACCAACTAGTGCATTAATTGTTGCTGTTGACTATAGTTATCCTCTAAAAAAACAATTTTAGAACAAAGAAATGAAAAAAACTTGGTTTGCAGAATTCATCACTCATAAGACAGAAGCCCTGAAGGTCAACTTGTCACTGACATTAGTGACATTTTACATTTGTTGAAATAATCACTAATCAACATGGAAAATAAATTCTGTTTGTAAGATAACAGGGATTGAAATCAGTTCAGAAACTTTTAGACTCAAATGTAAAATATTTGATGAAATCCATATATTCAATTTAAATGCAGATTCTGTAACTTATAGTGGCAACAGTGAATGACCTGGTGTATGATTGATAACCTATACTATGATCATTCTCACTAGGTAGACAGAATGTTCTTGTAACATTATATTCTTAGAACATTATAGGGATTCCCTTTAATGTGCTTCAAGAGATATAAAATAAAAAATTTGTAACAGGGGTCATTGATGATCAATTTTATAAATATTTGACATCATCCTTAGCAGGAGGTGGACAGAAAAATACATTTATGTAATATGTAACAATTAAAATCAGATTGTGAACTATTTGAATTAAGCTTCAGAAAAAGATGCTTCCTCAAGTATCTTACCCACATGCCTGCTAAGCCAGTTCTTGTATACTCAGATTCAATATCTCTGATGTTCAAAAGGTGTTTCCGTAGACCAAATACTAAAAGCAGCAAGCCCTGCAATCTGACTGATTTGAGTTGTATGTAATTTTTCTTGAGGACTTCTCTACAAGCAGTTGTCCATGGATCATCAAACAAAGTATCCATCAACATATTCTGGGGCTGTGCCTTCACTTCTTGAAATCCCAATATGAAAAAGTCAGGTATTTTATCACTCTTTTGATTTGTCAGAGACAGTAGTTCTCTCAGTTCTTGATCGGGATAACTTGTGCCCACATTATATGTGGAAACATAAATCCTTGAAAATAAATAAGATTATTCTCATTAATAACATGAATATACTTATTACTGTTACCTTAGATTTTCCATGTCCTAAATCCTGTATATGAAAGCACCAGATATTAAGGGGATGGGGAATCGTAACTGACGACAAGTAGTCAAGGTTAATACAATCTAATCATCAATTTTATTATGTACACTGATGACTGATAATATAATAGAATTCATAAAACTCATAAATTCCAATTTTCAATCAATATTTAAATTAGGCAATCCAAACCACGTGACATTTTAGCTGACAAGATGGCGTCTGGTTGGCAAACAAAGATTATACATCACTTGTAATTAAATTGTATTTTGCCCGAATCACCCTATTATTCTGGTAGTTTTATGTGTCAGGTGTTTGAGGGAGTCTCGAAGCTGAATTGAATAGTGCTTCAATATGCTGAGTTCATATTTCCAGAAGTTATTGCAGGAAAACCCAGAGGTTGGTCAGAGGTAAACATGAATATTTATTGTTTTTTCGGCTATTTTTCCCAACTAACCAGTACATTTTCATTCCCGAAACTATCATACAACCATAATTTGTTTGTAGATATCTGACGAAGCTGATGTTGATAAAGGATTTGAAGCCCTCCACATCTGAAACTGCTGACTGATTAGACTACCTCATAATTATACCCTCCTACTATTTATAGTGACTCACAGTTTCTACCCTCATGAGCAAATGAAAGCATTCAAAACCCTTGTTGTTCACAAGTATTTTTCAGCAACTTTTGTCCAGGAAGTAGACAGGAAGATGAATGATTTTCATGTCATAGATGGAAAGGTAACTTTTTACTTTTATACCTAAATACCTTTCATGATAGGAACATTTTGAATGATGAAATTATGTTATTCATATATTTTCAAATATATTTCCTACCTCATATTCATGTATATCTTATGCAATTTTTTCAGGTAAAATATTCACAATCAGATTCTGTGCTAATAGGTAAATAAGGAACAGTTTCATGTACTGATGTATGTGCTTTGTGACCCATGCCACCACTCTCACCATGATTGTGCTCATCATACCAATAGCAGAAATGGACATAGGTACAGTTGCTCTGAATGGTTTAATACAAAATCCCTACTATATCTTCAATGTCCAGAGAAACATGTTTTTTGGGAACAACATTCACAAATTGCTTTGAAGTTTCATGCCAAAGTTATAATACCTGGACTTTTGGGTGGATATTAATTTCACCAGAAGTGAACTATTGGTGTAAGTGTTCAAGTGCTGATGAAGGAACCCCTATGACTAGTTGTGACAGTGATAAAGGGAAATTGTATGGTTCTATTTTAAATGTGCAGATATTTTAGGTACACCAGAATCAGCATGGTTTTGTGAATTCTGATGCAACAAGTTCTATAAAAAAATATGTACCTATTCATAATGAATATATCATTCAATCATTGTTTATTATTGTTTCAATCAGATCACTGAATAACTATAATGTCCTATGAAGATTTTTTCATGACTAATGTAGATCTTTTGTAATATAGTGGAATAAAACAATGTATTTTTCATTTAATAAATATTACAATTATTTTGATATAATCACTTTATTTGTCTTACATTTATAATTGATAAAAATAAATCACAACAGACTGTAATTTGTAAAAGTACTTATAATCTTGTAGATTTTCACCAATTTTCTCTTCTATCTCTTTATCTCCCAGGACACTTTCTTCATTACACTAAAATAAATGAAAAATGATGTAGTAGTAGTATCAGGTAATTAGGTGTTTTTTTGAGAACATACCAGGTCTCTCGGTTCTGATGCTTGATTCATGATTTGAACCTTTTGTCTGCTCTCAGTTTTTGATCCACATCAGTCTTTCATTCCGAATGGACAAGAGATTGATGACCCAAGCTGGATATTCTCATCTTTCAGGCACTACGTTCTCCTACAATAAGGTAGTTGATGAATTTATGTATTAGAAACATGATGTTTCCAAACTATGTAGGACCATCAAAAGTGATGAGTATTGGTTTATTTTATCAAAATGAAAAAAAGATAAGTTTTCCATAGGATGAAACACTAAACTCATCAGTTCTAGAGTAGGTAGGTACATATAAATAATATTAAAATCTTTTTTCTTAGGTACCTGTTATGAAAATAGTGTCTGCCACATATCCTCTGGTTTATTATGATTGATTCTGTTGCTGATTCTTTCTCTTGATGGCTGCTATCCACATTTCCCTAATTTTTCTTGATAGATTCTCTATCTGTGGGTAATGCTCAGAGTTTTTCACAGTATTACAGTAGGAATGTGACAAAACAGCAAATGGTCCCGATCTGCACTGCTTCCACAATCCACCACAATTCACGTTACTGGCAATTTTTTCTTTGAAATCATACTGAGTTTTCATTATCCACAATAAATCTAGCCGAAACTCGATAAAATAATACTGTAAGAGGCTTCCAAAACCCACAAAGTTCTCAAGTAAACAAACTTGTCTTTGGTTTATTTGCCAACCAGACGCCATTTTGAAATTATTTGACAGGTCGTTGGATTGCCTAATAAAATATAAATACAAATAACCTAAAAATAAAAGAAATCTGACTTTGACAAAAGTCAAAAGGTCACAGAGAGACACGATTGTTTCACGCCAGTCACGAAACGAGTAGCATGCTGCTATACTAGCTGTCGGGATAACCCCTCTCCTCCTTCTCCTCTTGCTTGCGACAATGATGGAAGTAAGATATGGTGTGATTACTGATGCGCTTTTGTTTCAGAAATTTCACTCGACCTCTCGAGAACAGCGAGAGCAATACTGTGGCAATGGTTCCGTCGATCTTCTAATAGATGGCGACATTGCACAATTATAACATCTGTCAGCTATGAAATTGTCGCAGATTTTTCGATTTGAGAGTTGAATAATCCTCCTGTTACATATGTTCCGCGTACCTAAAATGCCATTTGCATTTTATCTCCACTCGTCACAGCAGCGATAGCAGCATCACCATCTAGCAGGAAGATGTAGAATCAACGTCTCGCTCGTTGTGACGTAGAGAAATCATAGTAGGCGATCGAGTGATTTTTCTGAAATTTTCAATTCGTAATAATGGCCGAATGCGCGCACCATATCTCACTTCCATCATTCTTACGACGCACATCGAGAATCTGAAAACTGCTGGTTTGTTTTGATGTGGCTTGTATTTTTTTATTCGAAGAAAAAGTGAGAAGGTTCATAAATAGGCCAAGTTTGGTTGGATTGTCTTCTTTCTTATGCAGAGAGGCTATTGTCCAATGGCTTTGCTGCAACAATGATGGAAGTAAGATAATATGGTGTAATTACTGTTGCGCTTTTGTTTCAGCAATTATACTCGACCTCTCGAGAACAGCGAGAGCAATGGTTCCGTCGATCTTCTAATAGATGGCGACATTGCACAATTATAACATCTGTCAGTTTTGAAATTGTCGCAGATTTTTCGAATTGAGAGTTGAATAATCCCACTGTTACATACATGTTACATATTATGTTCCGCGTACCTAAAATGCTATTTGCCATTTCATTTCCACTCGTCTCAGCAGCAGTAGAAGCATCAGCATCTAGCGGGAAAATGTAGAATTAACGTCTCGCTCGTTGTGACGTAGAGAAATCATAGAAGGCGGTCGAGTGATTTTTCTGAAATTTTCAATACGTAATAATGGCCGAATGCGCGCACCATATCTTACTTCCATCATTGCTGCAACTATAAAACTCATATCATTCACACCCATGAGAGAATTGCATCTTGCATCTCGCAGGTTCGCGTTTTGTGAGTGACATCCTTTACATGCTTGTCGGCAGCCAATAGCGGAATTGCCAGCGCAAAAGGTAGCAGACAGCCTTCTGTCACGATCAATGAAATGTATGTAGGTCACGATCAAGTTACCAAGGCTATATTCCGAATTCAACTGACAGTACTGAATTTGCTGATTTTCCATTCCGAAATCAAAAAATTCACTGGAAGTGACAGATGCTTGTCAGCAGACATACTATTCATTCCAAATATTTCGACTCAACATTCTGCTGGAATTGCTGAGTATCAAAAGGTAGTGTGGCTTCAGTGAACTGTCATATTTTAGAGGGGGAAGGAATATAACATTCATTTCCATTGTTAATGAGATGATTCTCAATATCAGAAAATACCTGGAGTATGAAGTAGTAGAGCAGGTAAGGCAAGGAGCACCATTGGCTAAATAAACTAAATAAATCTGGAATGTCTCCTAAAATTCATCATTATTAATAAGACATATTGCGATTTTCATGAATTTCAATTCTCAATCTGGTGCATCATGAGAAATTTATGGCAACAAAATGTCCAAGTATTCTTCATCACTCGAGCTTGAATCACCATCGTCAACAATCGTAGAAACTATAGAGGATACAAGAATCGATTTCTCTTCCATGTTAAATATTAAATTTCCAAAATTTATAACAAGTAGGAGGCTAAACATCTAGTTCAGATAAACGAGAAACTACTACTGATGAAAACCATGAAAACGTGTCCCGAATTACAGTAGTGAATTTTTGATTTTATATTTCGGAACACAGATTTTCAGCAGAGTCAGTGGATCAACTGACAGTACTGACCAGTTGAATTCGGAATATAGCCCAAACAAGCACGAGAATATCATTATTTGTCGTTTCCGACGAGTATCTCACACCAGTCACAAAATGAGTAGTTCATGGTTGCGACTGAGTCGACTGATGCGCTTTTGTTTTGCCCAGACTTGACAACTGACAACTTGACAACTGTTGAAATCGCAATATGAGGTTCTTACATCTTATCCTGATAGAGTATGTTACACGTTACACTATTGATAATTTTGTCATTTGGTTCGATGACCATTGAAAATTTGACGATTTCAGCAATGCTTACGGATTTTCTTTGAACAAGAACAAGTGTCGTCAGTTTTTGACCGATAGTTTTATCATAGAACTCATATTAATGAGTCACTCGTCGGAAACGAAAATGATTTTCTTGTTCTTGCCTGGAAAGTGGATAGCGACAGAAGTCTGTCTGCTGCCTTTTGCGCTAGTGCTTCTGCTGATGGCTGCCGACAAGCGTTTACAGGTTGTCACTCCCAAAACGCGAACCTGCGAGATGCAATTCTCTCTTTATAGAAGGTTTTTCAAGTCGAGCAAAGATTCCGTATATCTCCCAAGGTTGAACTCTTCATCTGCATCTCATCTGTTCTATCAAGTGATTTTCCGAAAAACATACTTTT